CATCAGCTGTGAGTTTTTGTTCAACATAGTTATCTCAGTATTTCACTAAATAYATCTATARTTTAAGCTMKTTAACCATGCTGCTGTTCAAATARTGTTTCAWCCTGAGAATGCTMCAAGATTTATTGCTTTRTGTTAATTTTATTTCTAAACATGRCACACATTACAGATGGTCCAGAAAAGGTTGAACTGAAAATATCACCACCTCAGGAAAAATTTGAAGAAGGTTCAGACATCCTTCTGTCTTGCTCCACTGACTCCAGACCAGTTGCCACATTTCACTGGTTTATGAATAATAGTCCWCTGCCTGATACTGGACCAGAGCTTAAACTGATTAATGTTAAAATAAATCAGAGTGGAAACTACAGCTGTCAGGCCTTTAACAACAGGACTCAGAAATATGAAGCTTCACATGCCTCTTTGATCTCTGTTCATGGTAGGTTTCATTTTATCTTTCTGAAATATTTGTGAATGTGATTAATTGTTCTACAACCACAAATAAAAGACCTRCTCTATTTTAAGGGAACTGGCAATAATTTGTCTTTGGACCTTTATACTGCCTTTCATTTCATTATTTTGGTTTACAGCTCCCCACAAAGTTKTTTCAGTTTTCTGTCACTGATCCCAGGCAGTAGATTTTGTATACAACCTAGTTTCAAAATATAAAGTGTATTTGCTGTAATGTACAACTTTGATGTTGCTTTTCCTAAATATAAACAAAACATTCAAAATATAGATGCAAAAATACAATGGACTGCTTTTAAAATACAAAATAAAATGATAAAGAATGGTTCTGGACTTGTAGGACATCAAGTCAATGGAGAGGCTGCAGGAAGATGATCAGAAAATCTAACTTAAAATTATCAGCGTTGTTTTTGGACTTACAGTTTTTCTCAGTTACTAAAACACTAAACCCTGTTCTTTGAACCAGTTTGAACCAGAGCTCAGTTCCCCTAACCCGTCCATCCGTTTTCTGTCGCTTATCTGGGATCGGGTCACGGGGGCAGCAGCCGAAGCAGAGAGACCCAGACTTCCCTCTCCCCAGCCACTTGGGCCAGCTCGTCCGTGGGAATCCCAAGGCGTTCCCAGGTCAGCTGAGAAACATGGTCCCTCCAGCGTGTCCTGGGTCTTCCTCTGGGCCTCCTCCCAGTGGGACATGCTCAGAACATCTCACCAGGGAGG